TCCCACCCCATGAAGTCCCAAAGGCTCTCTGGGAAGGGCTTGGAAAAGCAAGGCTACACACGTGGAACATTCCCTGGGACAAGACACCCCAGGTCCTCCCTGCCCACCCTCCTCAGCCCCTTCCCGCCCCCAGCCCAGGGGGTTTGGGTGCTGCAGAACTTCCCCAGACCAACCTCGGCCTCACCCCTCTTGTGAGAAACGTTTGTGGTGCCAATGAACAGGCCCACCCAGATCCTTCAACAAAGCAGTTTATTTACACTCTTGCAAGAATGGGTGACCTAAACAGGCAGGCACCCCCATAGGCAGGTGAATAACGGGTTATATTCCCTATTCCCGACGCAAAGTTCCCTCCCGTTTCCCCACTGCCTGGGCACTCCAGGGTTTCCAGCCCATCCGACGCTTCCAATGATCCTGTAAGTTTCCCACCCCTGCTCACACATCCCATTCTAGCAGGTCACTTTTTACCCTTTAAGGTAAAAATTTGACCTTTCTTCCCCCTTGGCTGCCTTCCCAATTAACAAACCCACTGGTGTCATCCTGCCCCGAGCAGCAGGACAGAAGGGGCTTTGTTGGGTCTGATCTTGGGCCATCAATCCTGCTCCGTGTTGGGATCCCCAGATGGAGCCCAATTCACTCCCTGGGCCACAAACCCCTCCTGGTGTCCTTAGAATGTGCAGAGATCTCACTTATCTCAATCAAACTATACATCTAAACCACTCCTGGTGTCAGATACCTCACTTATCTCAAACAAACTATGTATTTCTAACACTAGGATATATATACATATGTATATAAACCAAACCCGACACTGTGTTTCTAACACTAGAATGCAAAATCAACACTGCATTTCATTTCCAACCCTCAGGAAGGGAAAGCTCGGAGCTCACCTTGGCCCCTCCTGCAGCCAAACACTGACACATGCCTGAGGTTCATGGGGTGCAGCCCCCACAGGGGTGGCAGGTGCAACACCTGCACACACCTGCACACACCTGCACACACCTGCACGCACCTGCACCGAGCACTGGCAGCTCCTCCCGGCCCCGTGTGACCATCAGTGCTGCCCCCAGCACACGGGAGAACCTGCCCCACGGTCCTGAGGCCGTTTGTGGCAGCTCCCCGGGGTCCCCAATCCCCCCGGTGCCCCCCAGTAACCCCCAGTGCCTCCCAGTAACCTCGGTGCCCTCCAAAACCCCCGGTGCCCCCCAATACCCTCGGTACCCCCCAGTAACC